CTCTGGGAGAGAACCACTTCAGCCAGCCCTGCCGTCTTCCTCCCCTGTCCCCATTCCAGTCCCCCTTGCCAGTAATGAGGGACCAACCATACACTGCAATGTGACCAATAACAGTCACCTTCCTGAGGGTGATGGCAACAGCAGGGGGGAAGCTGCAGGCCCTAGTGGGGAGCCACGGAACCGGTAGAGTCCAAAACAGGCGCTGGTGCCTCCCCTTAAGCCGCTGAACAGAAGCTGGACCTCACAGCTGGCTGGGAACTGAACACACAGAAGAGCTGGTGCCTGCATTCGGGAACAGGAGGAATGAGAGGGTGGGACGTGGAGCCAGTGGGGAAGGGGCAGTCCAGAGGGCAAGACTGGCCTGGGGAATAGAGTCCTCCAGGATCTGGAGCCCAGAAGAGCCACATTGCTGGGCCTGGTATGAATGAAGAAGCAAGTGGGTGTCTCTTCCACAAACCCCCCTTTCTCCTAAGGTCACTGGCCTAGGGGACTCAGCCCTGGGCAGGAGCCCCAGAAGAATGAAGTCTTCCAAATCTAGACTACACCATCCTGGGTGGAACAGTGGGACAGTTCTTCCCTACTGACTCCTAGGGGCAGAACCACCAGGAGCAGAGGAACAGCCTACTTCATACCCCCAATTGCCTCTGACTCTAAACCTTGTAGAGTTCCAACTTCTCTGTCCAATCAGCCCACATAAAACATAAAAGTTGGACCCAGCTTCCATGTAGGGGACTTCCTATACTCACAAGTGGGGACACCTGTGAAGTGAAGAAAGCAGCCTGCTTGCCTGACACAGGATGGAGTCAATGCACAGTGGTGGATGGGCCCTCAGGAGTGGGGGGTGTAGGCTGGCCCACCCCCAGCTTGTCCACCAAGCTCCCCCCTCTCCCCAAAGCCCTCCATGCAGCACCTATAGGTGTCAGTATTACCTAAGCCTAGGCCAAAGCCAGCCCAAGGCTGGAGGGAGAGATTCGGGTCAGAATGTGAGGTGTTGGTCTGTGGTTTGAGGTGTTGCATGCGGAACCCTGAACTGTACGTGTAGTTGTAGTGGAGAAATCAAGGCTCTGATCATTTTGTTTTTAGTATGAAAATGTGATTTCCTTTCTGTTTATCACTCATCATAGAAACATTGTGGTGGGAGGAGAGGGGATAGTCTACTGCTAATGAGGGAGACACCAAAGATCTACATCATTAAAATGATGACATGCCCCTCGCAAGGCTCCTGCTTGTTTCCGTGGAGACAGGGGAGGGAGAAGGTTTGGGACTGGGGTGTGGAATGCACCAGACTGGGCAGCCTGACTTCCCTAGGTATCTCAGTGCCCTTTAGCCCAAGTCAGCTGCTTGAGGGTTGCTTCCTGGAACCTGTTCAGATTGGGGTAACCTCTCAGTGGAACGATGGAGGAAGTCATCCTAATTGTTCCCTGTCCAGGACTGTGGGCCTAAGTGATGGTTGTGGGATCAAAAGCTGCGCGCTCCAGTCCTGGTGGCCACTGCAGCAGGTTCTGGGAAGCTGGGAGGAGACTGTAAACTTGTCTACGAGTGTCTGAATGTGCCCTGTCCATGGCCTGTGCTTCTTCACACACCAAGCCACTTTAGAAAGTAAGAGAGGCCTCTTAATAGGAAATCTGAGTAACTCTGGGACATTGGCGAGCAACTTGGACTAGCACAGGTAGGACACTGTCGGGTCTTCTGGAAGGAGGTGGGGGTGGGAAATTGCAAGTTCTTTTCCAAATGAGACAGAACCAAAAGTAGGCAAGCAAGTAAAGCACAACTGTGAGGCTGCATGGGAGCACACACTTGTGAGCAGCATGGGAGCACACACTTGCGAGCAGCGTGGGAGCTCTGCCTGTAGTCCACTGCAGAGTGCGTTCTCTGTCGGTGAGTTGTATGAAATGGCTAGCTGTGGCTTAGGACAGGTTTGCCTCTTCTAAACTCTGATTTCCCTTGCAGGAATGCACTATGGGACTGCTTCAAGTTACTTTTAGCCCTGTAATCTCAAACTGTTCCAACTCACAGAGCACAGATGTGAAACTGACCTTCCTTTAAGGGAGAGGAATTTGAGCTAAATATTGAAGGATGGAAGGACCCCACTGCAAAGCTCATTACCGCTGCCATGAGAATCAGCCTTCAGCTGCTCAGGGATTGAGGGGCCACGTAGCCATTGAACTAATCACTCGACTTCTCTGGGGAGCTTGAGCTCTGGGGCTGGCAAAAAAGGGAAACACACACACACACACACACACACACACCTACCTTTAAGGTCTATCATCTCTCCTATTTCTTTCCTTACCTCTATCCAGATGTTTCCCTTCTGTCTCTTCCTAATTTTCCCTCACAGCTTATATACTCCAGCAAAATCTTTCCAGCAGTGTAAAAATTATAATATGATTACATTCTATTTTTAAGTGAATGATTACAATGAATATAAGTTTTTTAAAAATTGTTTTCCATGTCCCTTCTGTGGCTAAACATTTTGTATGTTACAGGTGAAAAACAAATATCCCCAAGAACCCACATGCATTCATGCCCAAGCACTTGATATAGATTAACAGGGTGTAAGCAAGCAAGGTTTTTTTTTTTTCCTTTTTCTTTCTTTCTTTCTTTCTTCCTCTTTCTTTCTTCTTCTTTTCTTTTTTGTTTGTTTTTTTGTTTTTCAAGACAGGGTTTTTCTGTTTAGAACTTCCTGTCTTAGAACTCACTTTGTAGACCAGGCTGGCCTCGAATTCAGAGATAGGCCTGAGTCTGCCTCTCGAGTGCTGCGATTAAAGGCATGTGCCACCACTGCCCTACTTGTGAGGTATTTTTCTCAGCCAGTTCTTTTACTGGCAGACTGCATTTTGTGGTTACAAAGAATGGATCACTTTATCTCAAAAAGTAATCTTATGAAAAATCTTAAAAGAATCACAAATCCAAACTTGCATATATGAAAAACAATCATTTCTAAATCCTCAGGGTGCATATCCACTCACCAATGATTTCTTTTTATTAAATCAGATCAGGAAGCTGAGGGCAGACACTGGAACTAGGAATTAACCATCATCTTCGGTCACCAACTTGTCCTAGCAAGAAAGGCACATCAGCCAGCAATAGCCAGGCTGCCTTTGTTTTGTCCCCTGGCCTCAATGAGTCCCTCCCTCAGCTCTTAAAATTATGCCTTTCTAAACTTTAAATTGTTCCCCAAGATTTTCTACCTCAAAGCCACTAATGAAAATTTCTTAACCTTATTAACGTTTCTGCTTGTCTAAATTCTTTCTAAGAGTGGTGGTTGAATCATTAATCTGCTCCAGCAGCAAGACTCAGAAAAAGTCAATCACTGTATTTTTAAGCAGCAGTGAGGGACTAGACACCCCGGGAGTTTTCATCCAGCCATAGACTATGAACTATGAAAGGTGTGACAACAACCAGCATGAGGTCCTCAGGACAAGTAGTCTTCGGGGCTTTGCCTCTCCAAGGCTCTCTCAGCTACGACTTTGCCAGCTGCAGCCGTGTTCCTTGAGTTCCAGTGCTTCTTGTTGGTCCCCTCAATTGACCCCCAGCATATTCTTTCTCACCTACTACTACTACAAACAGGAAGAAGTATGCCTTGGTTTGACAATAGAGACTGAATTTGAGTGTAAACCATGTGCTAAGCGTTCATGATCTACCCCTCCAAAAACCATGAAGTGATTCCTTCAGTTACCTTGGACCACGTGACTAGGAGCCAAGGTATACTCATCTGCCACCATCATCAGCACAGAAGTCAAGGCATAGGGGAAACTGAATGGATGTGGACATGCTCTCTAACTGGTTGGGAAAGGATATGGAGAAGACTTGTGATAAAGCAGTTCAAATATTAAATGTGAGCCTGCATCGTCCACCTCTACTACCTGGCCAAGGATGCACACCCAGGGAGAGCCGCCTCAGCAGGAAGCCTTTGCAGGGCGCCTTACACAGATAACACAGATGTGTTATCAGCAGGCAAGGACTGGGAGTCCCTAAGAGATAAGGAAAATGTTCAGAGGCCATTAGGTCAAAGAAAGAACAGAAAGACTAAACTGGGTCCCCCTAGTTCCAGTTCAGCTTTCCTGGGTTCATCTGTGAGTGCTGAGATGTGGGTGGGTGAGGTAACAGCCCAAGCCTCACAGGCTGAATTAGCAGGTGACTGCCTGACAGTGGTTGGAGGCATTTCTGGTTTCTGGAACCTTCTGTCCTTAACAAACTCGGCTAGTTTCTTCATGTGACTGCTTACCATTCTGCCCTCTCCCATACACACAACACTTCCACTCTCCTGGAAGTGTGTCTTCCTGGGCCTCAGGGAGGGAGATATGACCAAGTGGAAGAAGTTGATTTCATGTGCCTCAGCTGAGCTGGCCCTCAAGAACAGCTTGGGGTCAAGAACAGTAGTACTTAATGAGAATCATGGGAGACCAAAGCGCCCATGGAGAGAAAGATGGCTTTCTCACACCGACCCACCCAGCCAGCTCTAGCCTTCAACTCTGATCAGAGCAGATCTCCACTTCTTCACCAGTAAATCCCTCTTACCGGCTTTAGCTCAGCACCTCACCTCTTATCTGTTGGAGAAAAAACACACACACAAACAACAACAACAATAAAAAACAAAAACCAAACAAACAAACAAAAAAACCCTAACTCTTGTTTCTCCAATGCTATTCCCACCATCGCCACTCACCCTCCCCCCAGGAGTCTCTACCGGTTCTTGTGGGAGGGTAAAAGAGAGGCGGGTCTCAGGTTGTTTTTCCAAGAAAAGGAATCAGCTGGCTTAGGGTTTACTGTTGACACTCAAAGAGCTTTGTGGGTGACGGGGCCCAGGCGCGGAGAGTTGCGTCCAACCCTGGCTGGCCCAGGAAGAAACGCTGCTGCGGACCGACCTGCACGCAAAGGCCAAGGTAGAGCTGTCCGAGGTGCTGAATCTGTCTACTTTAGGCCTTAGCCTAACACAGTTGCAGGAGGTCTGAAAGACCCGGGTCGCGGGGGTGGGGGGGGGGGGGGTGGGAGTCTTTTCTGTCCCGTGTGACCTTGGGCACTGCCTTCCCCCTCGTCGGCTGCGAGGAACTCATTCCTGGATAGGAGGCTCGTGTCATTTTTCGGTCTCACAACTGGTGCGCGCCCCTTTCCGGGCCTGGAGAGAGACAAGGTCTTCTGCCAGCATAGATGCTCGCCTGCTCTCTTGTTTTCTTCTTCAGTCCCCGACGGCTCCAATCTTTTGATTGCCCGGCGGCCAACAAGCAGCCCTCTGCCCCAACAGAACTATGTTGGCCGAATCCGCCCCGCCACACATCACTTGCTGCTAGGACCAAACCCTCAAGACCGCGGTTAAAACGCAAGCGGGACAATGGAGGGGCTGAAGCCATGGAGAGGCGCGAAAATACTTCGGGGTCCGGAGTGTGTGGTTAGGGCGGAGGCGGGGCGCATAGCCAGACTTAGCCGCCTTGTTCCTCCCCAGCCCGCGAGGGGGCGCCTTATCCCCATGACAACGCGGACAACTCCCCTCACCCCCTCCCCCGGAGGGCAGCTCCCGAGGCTAATCCGCCCTGGAGACTGTGGGCGGTGCCCACGGTGCTGGAGCCCCGAGTCGCGGGCGAATTCCCGGGAGGGGCGCGAGCATCAAGGGTGTCGACGCTCCAGGTGGTGACCCCCGCGCGTCGCCGCTGGGTGACCGGCCCCGAGCGGGCGGTGCGTCCCCACCACGATTGGCTGCTTCCCTGTGACATCACGCGGCTCGGGGAAAAGTGCGAGCGTGAGCGCGAGTCGGAGCCACAGCGCCAGGAGCTGCAGGCGAAGCAGGGGCCGCCCCTTGACACCCCGTCCCCGCCCCCGGTCTACGGCCCATTCGCCCACCTCGCCGACTCGCGAAGCCTCTACCCTGTCCCGCCGTCTGTCCGACGCCAGCGGACCAAGACAGAAGCAGCGGGTGAGTAACTCCGCGGGGGCGAGGGGCTCCTGTGCAAGACGACGATGTCGGGCCCCGGGACCCGCTGGGGTCTCCAGAGGTGGCTCCCAGACCCCCCGCCCAAGTGTCAGGCGCGGTGCAGAAGGACCAGGGAGCTCAGGGGTTGGGGAGCCCCTCTGAAAGAAGGGCCCTGGGTCTCTGAAAGGTTTCTCCAGGTGCGCCTCCAGAGATTGATGATCATCCAGGAGGCTAGGGGCAGAAGAGTTTCAGCCCACAGCCCCAGTCCTAAAGCCCGGCAGCCGTCGGGTCAGGACCCACACTCCCTCATTCCCTCCGGTTAGCTGCTCTATAGGGCGCCGCCGGAAGAAGAAGCCCCAAGGCGCCCTTTTCCCGCCCGTCCCTCCGCCCTCCCTTACCACCTTGGCCCACCCGGATCTGCCAACACATTCTAGCCAGTAGAGTCCTCTGTCCGCGACCTTGAGCCCCGACGGAAAACACCCCTGTTCTCTCCTGGCACCCTTCCTCCTCTCCAGGACTAAACCTTGCTTTTACCCACCCGGGGAGATAGTCTCCTGGTCCCCCACCCTCCCAGCTCTCAGAGGAAGTGTTGGGCACAATGACTTGGCCCAATATCCTGCGCCCCTCTCCCTTCCCCTTAAGTGCATAGGCTTCTCTCCGCTCCGGGTACAGATCTGGGGCCACAGCTTTCCTAAAGTGTTCGCTTAATAATCGAAAACCTACCCCACGAGCCACCCCACGGGCGCCGAAAGCACCCTTTCTCGTCTTGTCCTCAGCAGGGAAAGGGGCTCGAGGACCCACGGAAGCACAGCCCACGCCCAGAGACTACAGGAACTGCGTGCCTGAGGGGTTGATGGGAGGGCGGGGCATCCGAGAATCTTGGCCCTTTCGACCCTGACCCAGACGTGGAGAAGAGGCGAGGTGGGCAAAGGGTAACAAGCCCTGAGGTGGCCCTTTAGGTATACCTGAGCCCACGGCTTGTGAACTCGGTGCCTATTTGACTGATGGGACTAGACAGGGCCTTTCCAGCGGGTGCGGGTTGAAGAGTGAAGGAGAACAATCGTACACTCGACCTGAACCTCGGCTGGGCTCCCTATTTGGAAGTTCTGCCATGCCTTCAATGCGTGGGGTACTCTGAACTGAGCCCGGTGACCCTTACGGCTCGATTGGGCGACTATCGCAGAGGCTTCTCGTCAGAAGTCTACGACTGGGGCTGCGTGCTCTCTATTCTTGAGAATGCAGACAGGGCCAGGTGCCCGGGCCACTAAGATAGTGACTCCAAAGTAAGGGTTTCCTCGCAACCAAAATTTTGATCTTTTCTCGACCCTTTCCCCCACCCACAGGCCGGGCGCTTCCCGGCCGTTCCCGCCATAGGCTTTGGATGTGACTGGTCACTCGCTGATGGTCCAGCATTTGCTCTTCACACAAGTTCGCAGGTACACCGACCCAAGCCGTGAGCTTGGGCCAGACCATAGCACCCCAGGCACGCACACACATGCACACGCACGTGTCCACATGGCGCTGGCATGCTCACGCGCTCAAAGACACACCGGTATCCAGGCGTGGCGGTGCGCACACTGGCACATGCAGGAAGCTACGAGTGTCTACTCGCACTCTCGAATACTCACACACAAACAGAACTTGCACTCGTGTTCCCACCTACACGTTCCTTGATGGGTGCCTTGCAACATGCTGATGGAATCCCGACGCCCTAAAGTTTCTCATTCTCGAGCCCCTGGTCAAACCTAGGGAACCTTGTGGCAGCTTAGAGCTACGGAGTCTGTCGGTGTTCCCTTCCCTTTGGCCCCTTGTAGGAGAAGCCCTGCCCTGAGGTTTTTCTGTTTTCGCGTTTTGCACTGGGACTTGGGGACGTAGCGAACGCGGCCACTGACTCGGGGTCCGGATCTGGCACCCGGGGACCGACATTGCCATCTAGCGGTGCGCACAGGTCAGGGCGACGGCTGCGAGCCTTCCCAGATCCTAGTTGGGCCTAATTCTGGGAAAATTGTGTCCACGGGTGTGAACGTCTGAGAGAGAATCAGAGAGGTCCGGAAAGAAAACTGGGACCGAGTTGAAAAAACTGGATTTTACCCAGCCTGCATCTGGCAGGGCCCGGGAAAACCAAGCCACCCACCATTCATCTGGTCAGTTACTTATCGAGGCTGTGTCTGGTTCCAGGAGGACAAAAGGTCAAACCCAAGCTGGATGGAATATGAGGGTTCCACACCTGAGATGCATCTGGTGGGCTTCTCTCTGGTGTGGTTTGGGAGGTACCTTGGAGATAAGAAAGTGTCTTTGGGTGCTAATCCTGACCCAACTCTTCTTGCAAACTGGATGACTTTCATCAAGTTCATTAACACAAAGCTTTTCTGTAAGATGAGGCTAGCAATAGCGCACCGCCTTTGCGGGCTGCTCTAGGCATTAAATGTGACCATCTTTAGGGAAAGCTCCAAGAGGTTCCTGACTAACTAAACAAGACTTTTGCTGTATTTTCCTTTGTCACATCTTCCCCCACCCCACCCCTACCTGCTTCCTAACCTGCTGGCTGCTGCTTCTGTTCTGGCCCTGAGAGGGTAGTGAGGTTTTCCTTGGTGTGCACTAATGTGTGTCGCCCCCAACCTCCACCCCGGCTTCTGCCTGCCTCTGCCAGCAAGCATCCTGGGAAAGGTGGCCTCTGTGCTTGATGCTAGTCTACCATTCTAGCTCCTAAACTGATGCTTGGAACTCCATTTTGGGGGTTCTCGGTGCTGATGGGCGCTGTGGAGACTTTTAGAAGACCCTTGACTCCTTGGGTGACCTTGGAGGGAGCATTACCCCCTCTCCTCCTGTCCTTCTTTGACACAAGGATTTAGAGCAGGAGAATTTAATTTTGAAGTTAATGGCAGGGTCTTGTGTCTTCTGGGGTGGGGAGGCTGGAGGACTGGAGCCAAGCTTTGGCCGGTGTCTGCAGCCTGCGGTGCCATTTCCAGTTGGAGAGCAAACTGTGGCGCTGACAGGATCACCTGGCCATTCAAAGACTGTGATGGGACAAGGTCCTCTGTTTTGTAAATGAGGGAGTTAAGTCCGAGGAGCACAGATGGCTCTCCTCAGACAGTACAGCTAGGGCTTGCTGGCCTTCTACTGAACCCAGGCTGCAGACTTGGTGCATCTTCCTCCACAGCCGGCTGCTGTACCCTCTTTTCCTCTTTCACACACACAGACAGACGCACAGAATTGCGTATACAACCTGCGTGTGGCTGAGATGGGGCCTGTGTGCGTATGTGGAATGGTTGTGTGTTGGCGGGTGTGAAGGAGGCTGGGTTGAGCGGCTGCCCTGGCACAGTGTGCTGGGCGTGGGCCTCCCTCACATGTATGGAAGAGGAAGAGGAGGAAGAGAGCTGAAGGGAGCCTGGTGGGAGGGAAGCGGACTCAGGGGAGGGGCCTTGTTGGACCTCAGCAGGGTCATTCTCTGTGGGATGTGAACTCTGAGAGGCTGGCTGCAGGTTCCCTCTAGGATAATTCCCTTATCTTTTGGGTTCCCAGGGGAGGTTAGACTGGCCTTGGTTCTGAGGAAATCAGGAAGACCATTCCTCGGCTGCTGGGTCCTTTAAATTTCTGGTTTCTTGTGGTTGGAGCCCTGGGAAGCTGAGAGCCCACCACTGCCCCTGCAGTGCCCACTCGTCCCCTGGGGCTGGGCTGGGGAGGCAAAGCCCAACTTCTTGAATCATCTCACTGTTCCCACTCCTCTCCGGGCATCCCAGCTCGCACCTCACCTCCTGGTCTCTTGGATAACCCTCCTAATCGTGAGGGCCATCAGGTCCTGTGTCTTAGTTCTAGGACTATCTTCTTTGCTCCTCAAATGCACGCTACCAGCACCGGACATCAAGGAAACATGGAACCCCGTCTATTTAAATAACTGCAGAGGTTACTAACATGCCTGTGCCTGTTTCCTCAACATCTGCCCTGGGTTCGTCGTGATGATGCACTGTCACACAGTGTAGGAACTTAGGAGACTGCTGATGCCGGCCACTCACACCACTCCTGCATCGCTGCCTCCGTCTGCAGTGTAGATGTGGGGATCGAGAACAAGTCTCCAGAGCTTGGCGATATTTGGCTAAGACATGTCCAAGTGGCTGTATATGGTGGTACATGCCTTTAATTTCAGCACTCTAGAGACAGACAGGAAGATCAAACTCTGTGAGTTTGAGGTCAGCCTGTTAAGTAAAACCCTATCTCAAAAAAAAAAAAAAGAAAGAAAGAAAAGAAAAGAAAGAAAGAGAAAAATAAAGGAAGGAAGAATAAAGAAAAGAAATGGCCAAGCAGCCAAGCAGGGCTGACTATGTGGCCAAGAGGTGTGTGGTCTGTGCGTGTGTTGCACGTCTACCACGTGCGGTCTGTGCGTGTGGTGCAGGTCTACCACGTGTGGTCTGTGTGTGTGGTGCAGGTCTACCATGTGTGGCGCTGGGCACAATCTTTGGTACCCGAGAAGTGGGGCTTGAAATGACATGAGTGGGGGAGCAAATGATCGAACACTGTCTCCACCTTGCAGTCTCTGGGACCATTCCTCACACCGCCCTTTGCTTTCCTGGGCTCCATACATACTGGCCTGTCCCTGTCTCCTGGCAGGGAGCCACAGCTCTTCACATGACGGTCTCCTTGTTGTTGTTCCGTTATCTCCTGGGTGAGGCACATGATCACCTGCAGGAACAACCCCTCTCCTGTCTTCTGACTCCTGTTACCCTCACTCTGCCTTATTTTCCTTTTCTCACGTTTCTATCTCTCCCCAAGCTGGGTTGTCCATTCTGATGGGAACCATGAGTGTTTCATTCGCTTCTGATCTCAGCCCTGAGCTGACACCAGAGGCTCTCAGTTTTACCCATCTTATGAGTAACATCTTCCCGGATGATCTCTCTCCTGCCCTGCGGCTCCAGTTAACTCTCTTCAACAACTCACCCGTTCCTGTCTCCTCCCCCCAGCCACTGCCCACCTGTACCCAGCTGGGCTCAGCATGGCGAACTTCACACCTGGCAACGGCAGCTCAGCCAATCAGTCTGTGCGCCTGGTCACAGCCACCCATAACCACCTGGAAACAGTGGAGATGGTGTTCATTGCCACAGTGACAGGCTCACTGAGCCTGGTGACTGTCGTGGGTAACATCCTGGTGATGCTGTCCATCAAAGTCAACAGGCAGCTGCAGACGGTCAACAACTATTTCCTGTTCAGCCTGGCGTGTGCAGACCTCATCATAGGTGCGTTCTCCATGAACCTCTACACCGTGTACATCATCAAGGGCTACTGGCCCCTGGGCGCGGTGGTCTGTGACCTGTGGCTGGCCCTGGACTATGTAGTGAGCAATGCCTCCGTCATGAACCTTCTCATCATCAGCTTTGACCGCTACTTCTGCGTCACCAAACCCCTCACCTACCCTGCCCGCCGCACTACTAAAATGGCAGGCCTCATGATCGCAGCTGCCTGGGTCCTGTCCTTTGTGCTCTGGGCCCCCGCCATCTTGTTCTGGCAGTTTGTGGTGGGCAAGAGGACAGTGCCTGATAACCAGTGTTTCATCCAGTTCTTGTCCAACCCGGCAGTGACCTTTGGCACAGCCATTGCTGCCTTCTATCTGCCCGTGGTCATCATGACGGTGCTGTATATTCACATCTCACTGGCAAGTCGCAGTCGAGTCCACAAGCATCGACCTGAGGGCCCCAAGGAGAAGAAGGCCAAGACTCTGGCTTTCCTCAAAAGCCCCCTGATGAAGCCGAGTATCAAGAAACCTCCACCAGGGGGCGCTTCTCGAGAGGAACTGCGCAACGGGAAGCTAGAAGAGGCCCCTCCGCCAGCCCTGCCCCCGCCTCCACGCCCAGTGACCGACAAGGACACTTCCAATGAGTCTAGCTCGGGCAGTGCCACCCAGAACACCAAGGAACGGCCACCCACAGAGCTGTCCACCACAGAGGCCACCACACCAGCCCTGCCCGCCCCTACCCTGCAGCCACGAACCCTCAACCCAGCCTCTAAATGGTCCAAGATTCAGATTGTAACAAAGCAGACAGGCAATGAGTGTGTGACAGCCATCGAGATTGTACCGGCCACTCCAGTTGGCATGCGCCCAGCAGCTAATGTGGCCCGAAAGTTCGCCAGCATTGCTCGCAACCAGGTGCGGAAGAAGCGACAGATGGCGGCCCGCGAGCGCAAAGTGACTCGGACCATCTTTGCCATTCTGCTGGCCTTCATCCTCACCTGGACACCCTACAATGTCATGGTCCTGGTGAACACCTTTTGCCAGAGCTGTATCCCTGAGAGGGTGTGGTCCATTGGCTACTGGCTCTGCTACGTCAACAGCACCATCAACCCTGCCTGCTATGCACTTTGCAACGCCACTTTCAAAAAGACCTTCCGGCACCTCCTGCTATGCCAGTATCGGAACATCGGCACAGCCAGGTAGACAGGCAGGTGTCCTAGGAGGTGCTGGTGTCATGAGTGTGTACCGGGGAACCACATGGGCTCACCGGCTGTGGAGGAGCGAGTAGGCGGCCCCATTCTGAGTTGGCATCTGCTAAAGAGAACAGGTCTCTTTACAGTGAGGCACAAGAAGCTCTTCGCTGGGTTTGGAGGTAGATCTCAGCCCCGGAGGGTCTGAACTGGCACCACCTGGCCCCTATCTGTCACCCTGCCTCAGAAGGATGGGGGACAATGACTGGAGTGGGCAGCGGCTCTGTCGAGGCCAGCCATCAGCAGAGATGGAAGAACCAATCGGAGAGCAGAGGCCAGGAGCAAAGGAGCCAGGCTTGGAGGGGTGGGGTACCCCGTTCTGCTGTAATCGGTGCTTTCCGCCTCCCTGCACCCCCTCCCCCTGCATGTAGGCTCGGTCCTTCCCTGCCCCCAATTCCCTCTCCAGGGTGAGAGATTCAGCCAGGCTGAGGTGCCCTTCCCTGGCCAGCTGTCACATCTGGATGGGGCAACTGGGAAACCAAGCTAAGAAGCTGATACAGACTACAGGGGACCAAGACTGAGTCAAATAGTAGTGAATCTTACTCTAAAGAGCACCCCCCAGAGGTTTCAAATGAAGGGCAGTATTCTCCTCTACCTCTGCAGGAGGGAGGGCCCCAAAGAAAGAAAAGAATGTGTGGTGGTGGGGTGAACTTGGTGACAGTGATGGTGAGGCAAGCAAGCACCTTCATCTCTCCCCCGTGAGAACCTGGATCCAAGAACCTGGATCAAGACTCTTAACTAGGTGAGGCAGAGTTCATGTGAGGCATCTGGGTTCTCTTCCCTAACCCCAGTCCTGTGGTTCCTGGGAGAGATGACACCCAGGGGGCTCTGGACGACATTTTCATAAATGTTCTGCTCTTTCCTGAGCTGTTGGGAGCACTTCCTAGTAGGCCTCAACTCCCTTCAGCCCGTCTTTCCCCACCCCAACCCCAACAAAACTCTATGGCAAACTCCCTGGGAAGGGACTTTTATATATTAAAAAAGAAGCTTTTATTGGAGAAAAAAAATGTGAGTTTATTTTATTCATTTCTTAACATATCAGGGTGGGGAGAACAAAACGGGGTGCTGGGAATCAGATCCCTCTGGGGAGGTTCAAGCTTCCCAGAGTCCCTTGTGCTTGTCCCTCCCCACTTTGGGCACTTGGTGTGGGGTGATTGACAAAGTTGTGGCAGACAAAAGGCACTGGTGGGTTCTATTTTGGGCCTGTGGCAGAGAAGCCTCCTTCAGGGACCCAGGTAGGCCAGAGGCTCTCCAGCATCCTGAGATCAGTCTTTTCCTTTCCCTTTCTTGGCTGGAAAACAAGAAACGCTCTTGTTAGGTGACTGGGTGAGACCGGTGGGCCCACAATTAAGTACAAGGAGAGAAAATCCTGCCCCCTAGTGGTCTTTGATCGGTTAACCTGGAAGTGGATGAAAAGGGCAGCCATTGTGATGCCAACTAAGCCTTTTCTTATTCCCGCAACTTTTTACACCCCCCCCCTTTTTTTTTTAACAGAGTCTCACTCTGTAGCCTTGAAGTCACGGCTGTCTTACTGCTTCAGCCCTGAAATTACAGGATGAGCCACTATGCCTGGTTTTCAACTTTCTGTTTTCATCCAGGATCGGAGTATGTCTAAGTTTCTCACCTGGGAAGTGGGCAGACTGACCTCTGCCCTGTTGGCCTCAATGGTTGTGGGTCAAGCTGCAGCATGGCCCTTTGGAACATCTTTCCTATAGTTTTAAGGGCACAGTGAACTCCTCCTTGACCCTATCCAACCCTCCTCAGGTGACAAAGACAGGCCTTTTCCAGGACCCCAAATCGGATGATCCGACAGGAAGAGTAGTTCCTACTTGGGCAAAGACGGTTTAGTGCCTCCTGAGAGCTGCCTTCAAGCGCCGGCCCATTTCCAACTCTAAGACCGCTCTGAAAAGGTGGCGCGAAGTCCCTAACCAGATCCGCAGTCCCACTGTATTCACTGACCTTTGGTCTTCGACTTGGTCTTCGAGGTGCAGGGCTTGGTCACGCGGATGGTCTCCTGGCACTGGGCATTGTAGCGAGCCTTCTTCAGGGTCCCTTGGCGTGCTCTGGTGCCGGTGCTTCCATCACACGACCCCCAGCTCTCAAACTTGTATTTGCAGTCGGCTGATGAGAGAGTGGCCCCACGGGGTGAGAAACAGGAGGGTTGAGGCTGCCTCCTGCCTTCCTGCCCTCCTCCTGTGCCCCACCTCACCTCCAAATTCCTTCTTCCAGTTGCAGGGCACCTTGCAATGGATGCGCTGGGTCTGGGCTCCGCAGGTACCCTCGCGGAAACCCATGCCGCAGTCTTTGCTGCTGGGGATGCAGGGCCCCCACGTCCACTCCGAACACTCGCTGCCCTTCTTCACCTTTTCTATAAAGTGCAAGGAACAGAGTTAAGGCTTGGCGTGCACGGAAACTCCCCGGGAGACTAATCCCTAGGTCATGCGGCCTCACTTGCCATCCCGGCCTTTCCTTTACTCCTGAGCCCACCCTATCCCATCACCTTTCTTTTTGGCCACGGCGGACGTGAGCGCCAGGAGGGCAAGAAGGGCTAGAAGGAAGAAGCCTCGGTGCTGCATCCTAGAGGAAAAGTTTGGGTTAGAGTTTCTTGCCCATTCCCTTCCCCGATGGGGACAACACCTTCCACCCCAACTTGGCCCACTTTCCAGGCCCAAGGGGGTCCGGCCGACAAGGGGCCGACGGAGGGAGGACTTAAAGCCGCAATTCCGGGACTCAGCGTAGCCCCCCACCCCCGCCTCAGTCTCCTTGGTGGTGGCAGCCTGGAGGGACTGAGGCCACGGCTGCTGTGCGCGCTCACTCGCTCACTGTCGGTGCGATGCTTCGCTCCCTCCCGCTACAGCTACGGTCCCGCTAGGACTGCTGCGGCCCCTTTTGTCTCCAGAACCGGTCTGAGCCGGTCACATGGGCCCCCGCCCCTCCCCCCCACCCCGATGGAAGGACCCGCCCCGCCCCCTCCCCTCAAACCCGCACCTCCTCAGACCCCTTAGTCCCCGCCTCCACTCCCGCCCCTAGCCGCTCTCCCGCGCCTGCCCATCACCTCTGATCTCTGAGTCTCTGGCCCTGGAGTTCCCGTCTTGCCCATCCACTCCAGGCTCAAAGTCTTTTCACGGGCTCTGGAGCCCCAGCACTCTTCCTCCTCCCGCCTCCCCCTTCCCTGGTTTGGACTTGTCCCCTTTGCAGACAGCTCTCAGGGCACCGCTTCGCTTGCCCTCTGTGGGGCCCTGGAGTCTGCCTGGTGTCACAGGCCCAGGAAGGCCTCTGCATCCACGATGCTAACCTTCGAGGCCTGGCTCACCTCCTACTTGTTGGGGATCAGATCACTCAGAGGGCAAGGAGGGGCTTTGATGTGTAGGGGAGCTGAGGATCCGGGACCCCAGTTGGCGGGGGACGAGCAAAGCTCAAGATCCTTTTCCTAACGCAGGTTTGAAGGATGAGAGAAGGGGATGGGCGGGGGGGGGGGGGGGGAGCACGGGAGGGGCGCAGGCCTTAGATTGGTAAACCTTGTAGCTGACAGGGGCTGTCTGAGAAGTTCCAGACCGGGTTTCACTGGAGGTGATAACCGCCCACCCCTGACCCTGGGGCCTCAGGCACACCACCTCCCCCCCCCCATTACAGGCCAGGGGGAGGGGGACTACGGGACTGCTCCAGGGCACCGGGCCAAGGGACCGAAGAACCCACACCCGGCCCCCGCCCCACCCCTTTTACTTTCATTGTTATTGCCCCAGCGGGAGCGGGAAGCAAAGGAAATCAGCTCCGCCTCTGGCCCTGGGAGCCTAGGCTGCTAGGCAGAGGTCAGGAGCCGGGCAGACCCATCCAAGCTAGGTACCCCTGTACCGGTCTGAGATACTGGTGACCATTCCCCAACTCTTAAGTTAACCAGGCACACGCCGCTGCTTATCAGAGATCCACACAAGGAAAAAGAAAACAAGAAAGGAAAAAAAATTCACTTTACTGAGTCATACCCAGCTGTAAACAAGTCACCGTGGGAGCCCCACCCCCCACCCCAGGCCATACAGTCTGAAATGAAATGACTGGGTACATGAGGATCACCAGGGGAGGTGCCAAGCAGGGCCGCGGGCAGGTGAATACAGCAGGCTCTTTAGTTTCTGGGAGGCCCTGGGTGGGTGGGTCAGAGCGAAGGGCTAGGCACCCCAAAGCCTCCCGGCAGTCCAAAGGACTAGGTGGCTAGCAAATGGCCTGCTGAGAACAGGCCTTCCTGTCGGTGCTGAGTCCTCTGTCCTGCCATTCGGTCTGCCATGGTGAGGGGAAGGCTACCCGAAGGGATCCACCAACCCATCTCCTGTTCCCCATGAACACAGAGACAGGTGAGAGTCCAGCTCCTCAGAGTCCAGCCCTAGATCTGAGCGGCTTCTCAGGGGTGGCACGGGGCTCCTTCCCTGGGGCAGGGTCCCCCCATGGCCATCCGACAGGAATGTGGCAGTGAGGTGGGCAAAGAGGTCCTCTGTAGTGTCCTCCACTACACAGCCGTCTCCTGGTCCTCACGCTGGATCATCTGGTAGTGCTGTCTGTTCTCCAGGTAGGCAGCCAGCTCTGTGTCCCGAGCCTTCTCAGCTCGCTGCCGGGGAGTGTCGCCCTGGAACAGGGTGGAAGGGCCCCAAGGCTTTAAGAGAGGGCCTATGGGGGAGGGGTAGCCTCACAGGTTACAAGGTTTCCCCTCCGGGCTCAGGTTTCTCCAGGCCTGGATTATGTTGGAAACAGCTTCAAGTTTCCTAGCCCTGCCCCCAATTTCTGGAAAAGGGCCGTTTGGGTTCTGCCAGGCTCACCTGCTGGTCTGTCTTCATGAGGGAGGCCCCGGCTTCCACAATGTAGTGGCAGATGGTGCGCTGGCCCAGGGCAGCTGCCTGGTGGAGACAGGTCTCCCCACTGGGGGGCAGGGGCTGCTTGTGGACACTTCCCAACAGCCAGCAGAAAGGGCAGGAGTTTGACGAGAGGGGGAGGGGTACCCCATGCTGGCCAGAAAGGGTTCTTGGGTTTTGGATGACCAAATGGTTAGGCCTGAAGGAAGTGGTTCTCAGGTGTCCCAGATACTCACTTCTCCTCGACAGCATCAAGGATCTCTGGCGGTACTGCGGGAGGAAGGGTGCTCAGAGCCTGATAGCCCTTTCTTCCCACCCAGGCCCAGGAGCACAGCTTACCATGGTCCAGCAGATAGCGGACCACTTCCTTACTGCCAGTGCTGACTGCATGGTGCAAGAGTGTGCGGCTCTGCTGGTCCCGGTGCATGAGGTCACCTCCTGCTCGGTGCAGCTCCTGGAGCTGAGGACAATGGGCAGGGCAGAGCTGGGTCTCCCTCCCTCCACAAGCATGGACCCAGACATAGGCTCACACAGGTCACACTAGGAGCCTTTGGGGGGGGGGGGTTGTTGTTTTGAGATAGGTTGTCTCTATGTAGTCCTGGCTGTGCTGGAACTAGTAGACCAGACTGGTCTTGAACTCACTGAGATCCCTCTGCCTCTGCCTCCTGAGAGCTGGGATTAAAGGTGTGTGCCACCACAGCTGGCTTCTGAGGGTCTCTTGGGTGTCATTAGAGATACAAGTCTTCTCATCTGACATGTAAGGACTCCCCCAAAATGTACAGCCAACCAAGCTCTGGAGCCTGCAATTCCTTTAAGATTGACCCCGGTCCAAGCACCAGGGACAGGAAGACTGGGTGAGGCAGCCTCCTAGTAGCAAGTCACCTAGACAGGGCAATCCCACATGGAGGACCAGCTGATGACAAGTGCCGAATACCGCCCAGGGTGAGGGCTCCAGGGACAAGGCTAGGCTGACTGGTACCTTGCAGAAGTCATTCCTCTTGGCAGCTTCAATCAGCTCTTCCCCTGCACAGAACATCTGTCCATCAGACCCTGAGGTCAGTGGCCTGGGCATGACTTGATGTGTGAACAGTATGTGTGATGATGTACTACTGTCCGGGGCAGGAACCCGCTGGGGCTGACTCCCACTGACCCTCACACATAGACCAAGGAAAGGAGAGTGGCAGGACCCTAGGGGAAAGGCCTCACCTTGAGGTGGTGCAGCATCCCCCTGCAGTGACCTACAAACAAAACAGGGTGAGCTGTGACCCAGTGCAGCCCAGTTGGCCACCTTCTCTAGCCTCAACTATATTGGCCTTCATTTTTTCAAGTTTATTGAGTGCTTACTGCACATCACATACTGTGGAGAACAAGCAGGGAGCCATACAGCTCCCATCCTAGCTCAGAGACGTAAGCCAACCAGTAAATCAGGAATCTGGAAGTGCTACTGAACACAATGGGGCAGGGTGACCAAGCAGCTGGGAACTGGAGACTGGATCCTTCCCAACCTTCAGGAGGCATTCCTGGAAAAGATCCCCCTAAGAGGGAAAAGCCAAGCTGAGACTGAGGAGTGGGGTGCCTGAAAAGGGGCCAGTGGGAGGCAGCAAGTCAAAAGTCCAGAGGATGGCCTGGGACCTCCAGTAAGGGACGGAGAGGCCAGGAGGCCCAGGACTGAAGAGTTGCTGAGAAAGAGGGTTTCTGGGCTGCGGAGCGGCCTGTGTGGACCTGCACTTGTTCAGATGGTGGGGAGCATCCTAGCAGAGGGACAGAGCCTGCCCCTGAGTGCCCATGCTGTGCCTAAAGGCGGGAATTCCAGCAGACAGGGTTTAAAGCTGGGGAGTGGTGGTCAGGGGGGCTCTGGGACTCACCGGGGTATGGGGGAGCAGGGGGAGGTAGGGAGCGGGGAGGTAGGGGTGGGGAGGTCAGGCCGTGCTGATGCCCCCAGCAGCTCAGGGTCTAGGATATAAATCTCGTCCTGGGCAATCTCCGTCACATAGTTGAGGTGCTCCTGTGGGGGGAGGGGTTAGAACTAAAGGTCAGTGCCAGCATGTGTGGCCTTTAGTCCCCAGGGGTGGGGGTGGGGCTAGGGCAGCAAGCCAGGCAGCAGACCTAGAGAAGCCTCTCTCAGAGCAGGAACATCAGGGGAGGTGGCAGGGAGAGTGGGGTAGTCTTCCTGTTCAGCCTGCTCCCTCACCTCCATATGTGGCATTCACCAGCTCAACAACTACTTCCCACTGCTAAGCCAGGTGATCTAGCCCTGGCTATTTTCTTCTGCTTCCCTGGATAGCACTGTGCTTCGAGGCCCTCCCTTCCACCCACCCAGAAAGCCTTTTCTGGGTGTGCCAGCTTTTTCTGTTGGCACCATCCCTGTGCATTCCTGGAGGGTGGGGGCATGTGATCCACAGCCACAGGCATGTGAGAATATTATGGCCATGAGGCTGTGGTGAGCATGCTTGGCTTGTGGGGCTAACCCTGAAGCTGGCCTGCAGAGGTGTGAGTGTGTGGGGTACAGAAGCTGGCTGTGGGTGAGGAAGGCCTGCAGTGCTTACCTGGGCCCTGTCGATCCTGTAGAAGCGGCTGGCAGTGGTAGCTAGAGAAGAGATTCCCCGATGAGGCTGAGTAGGATGAATGTCCTTGGCCCAGCCCAGGTTCCCCCAAAGGAGCCCAGCACTGCCTAGAACTGACCCTTCAAGGCAGACTCACCATCCAAGAAACACCACTTAGAGGATAGTTGGTGACATGTCGGGGACTTGGCTCCAGCGCCATCGGGCTCCTGTGAGACAGAAGCAGAAGTCAGGGTGGGCCACGAATAGTCTGGGGAGGAAGCTCGGGTGCCCCCACCTCGTCCTGCTTACACGGCTTACCTGCTGGAGTCTCTCAATGTGGGCACGGCAGAGCTCTAGGTCACTGTCCCCAGGGACCACCACAGTGCCCAGAGGCACAGCTGGAAGACAGAAGGGCCTTTCAGCAGCGGGCTGCATGTCCCTGCTGCATGTCTGCAGGCAGCCCAGCAGCTGCTTATCCCTCCCTGCCCCAGCCCTGCTGCCACTCACAGGCCTCCTTGAGCTGCTCCTTGTCATAATGCAGAGCCTCATAGTCGTGCATGCTGACCCTGCTCACCTGGATCCTCAGCTGCTCGGGGACTGGCTGCTGACTGGAAGGTAGGACCAAGGACAACGAATTCAGCCAGGACCCTGCCCAGGATACCAGTCCTCAGCTGGGCATCCTGCCTCGCTTCCAAAGCCCTTTATTTTGGATGCCAGGGCAATCTATAGCCTCATGCATGCTAAGCAAGTGCTCTCTTATCACCAGATTACAAGTCCCCTTTGCCGGGCAGGAAACCAAAGCTCAAGTAAATCAGTGGTTGGCTCCAGGCCCCTCGGTACATGACGGCTAACATGACCTACTCGCTGTGCAGCGGGGCAGCACTCCGGCGCTTGGCCTTCTGCACCATTGTGGCCTGGTTGCGCAGGGCGATTCGAATACGTGATGCCGCAAGCTTGCAGGGCTCACCGTCCACCTGCACAGGGATGGCCTTGGCCGTGGTGAGCAGCACTTCTCGGCACTGAGTCAGCCGCTCTCCGTGCCCACCCACCTGCAGTGCTGCCTGTGGGCAAAGAACGCTCAGGTCAAGTGGTGGGTGGGGCAAGCCCTACTCTTTCCAGAGATGCTCTGGTGAAAGGATAAAAACACGAGGGAACCCCAGACAATGCAGATTAGAGGGATGAGACGGAGGCACTGAAGATGGGAAGATGTGCCCTCTGCTACATCAAGAGGAAGAAGGCCAAGATGCCCAGCTAGGGGACTTAGGCCAAGAAAGGAGCTGAGGTGACCACCCAACCCTGGCTAATGAAGAGAAAAGAAGAAACAGTTTAGGACAGGGACCACTCACCAAGGATGTCATGGTGAAGCCGATGACCTCGAGGTAGCCATCATCATGCCGCTGGGGCTCGAAGTCATGGTGCTCCCCAGGGTGGCCCCAGGGCATGGTGCCTGCACAGTACCTGAGGGGAGAGCAACAGATGGGCTCTGGCATGGACTCAGCAGGATGGGACAACAGGGTCCACAGGAGCCCCATTTCCTTACCTGGGGATGTTCAGAAAAACGATGCACTGGGGTTTCAGGTCCTGGATCTTGGGGGTTAGGTCTATTCCATCACACTGGACACAGGAACAGGGGAGTGTTGGAGAACACGTGTACCCTAGTGGCCTCCCTCCTACTGGGTTCCACTGTGTGTCCGCCAGCCCTCCTTACCACGACACGGATATGCTTGGCTAAGTCCTTGGAGCTGCCCATCAGGAAGTCAGAGAAAGCCGTCTGTTGGAGACAGAGGGTGTGATAAACCACTGTGTCTGTCACAGGGGTCCTGTGAGCTGCACACGGGGCTGGGGGCTGGCTAGCCCCAGACTTACCCCAGCATAGAACATCTTATTCCGAAAGCGGCTGTTGAACTTCTCTGGGTTGGCTTCTGTAGAGACAAGGGGTGGTGATGTCAGTCAACCTGCTGGAGCTTCCCAGGTTAGGGGAGGAAGGAAGACTGGGAGAGCAAGGTCTGGTCCTCCTTGGAACACTCTTGAACCTCCCATGCCTGCCCTGGCCCCCAGGTCCCCGCAGCAGGAGGATGCTAACCTCGGGACTCATGGAACTCCAGGGTGACGTGGGCATCAAAGCCCAGACTGAAGTAGTTGTTGAAGACATCCAGGGGCAGCTAGAAAAATGTCAAGGTGTAGAAACGAGGAGGTGACTCCCAGGTGTCAGCCATAGTCATTTCTACCCCACTCAGTCCATCTACTTCTGAAGGCCTTTGTGTCAAGTCAACAGTGTGCCAAACCTTCCTCGAGCTCCCCTGCAGCACTGCTTGGGAGGCCCTGCTCGTCTAGCTGGGAGAGGGGAGGGCAGCTCCTTGAACGACCTACTGGATCCTTATAGCACTGCATCCCTATATGCCATGTACTGCATCAACTCCAGGAACAGGGACCTAAGTCTTGCCATGGCTTAGAACAGAGGCTGGAGTACAGGAGCCCTAAGCATGTGCCAGGAGGCTGAGTAAGAAATCAGCTTGCAGTGGGTACCACTATGCTCCTGGGACAGAAAAAGGCCAGAACGTGTAGAACTGGAAACTCAGCTTTCCAGAACCAGATAGTAAATGTGCAGAGTCCAGCCAGATCCTTAAGAATCCCAGGCTCAGCAGGGCAGTGGTGGTGCACGCCTTTAATCCCAGCACTCAGGAGGCAGAGGCAGGCGGATCTCTGTGAGTTCGAGGCCAGCCTGGTCTACAAGAGCTAGTTCCAGGACAGGCTCCAAAGCTACAGAGAAACCCTGTCTTGAAAAAACAAAAAACAAAAAACAAACAAACAAAAATCCCAGGCTCACAAACCCCTGCCCAGTAGCCCTAGCTGACCTACCTGGTCAGTGGCTCCATCATCTCGCTCCTCAGGGCCTGCCTCAGGGTTGGGCTCTGCTCGGAGGTCCCAGCGGTCCAGCTGTACCACATTCCCCTCTTCTACATGGGAAAGGATCTTTGACACAGGCTCATCTGTGTAACCCTGGTGGAAAGAAGCTGAGACTGAGCTTTCCCTGTGGTCAATGGATAAACTTCCCCTCTGGCAACCCTGTTCTGAAGGGCACTTACCCCACCCCAGTTGAGGGTGCGGGCCAGGTCATTGCCAGTACCCAGGGGCAGGATGGCCACAGGGGGCGATGGTTTTAAGCGCAGCTGGTCCAGGGTGGACAGAATCCAGCCAACCTGGAGGAGGGCAGACCACGGTGGATCAGTCAGGTCTGCGACGGGGAGGAGTGCACCAGGCATGAGCCCTGCTTACAGAACTTACCGTGCCGTCACCCCCGCAAGCCAGAATCCTCAAATTATGCACTTTGCGGTACATTTCCAGCCTGGGCCAGGGGAGGTCAGGAATAGAGTCAGGAGACATGTGACATACCAAGAGCTAGCCAAGCCGCCACTGCCCTGGAGAACCTAGTAGAGTACTTACGCCTCCTTGGGTCCCCCCTGGCTCAGGTCAAAGACTTGTCGAGGATTCAGATACCACAGGAAAGACTGGATGATCTTAGCGCCCTGCAGGGACAGCCAGGGGACAATGAGAGGAGGGGAAAGAGGGAACAGCTGTCAGGGGCAGAGAGAGGGGACACAATTGTGAGAACCAGCTACAATAAATAGTGAGATGGGACAAGGTCCTCTCAGGGTTCCTGGAAAAGCAAGGCAGGAGCTAAAGCCCCAAATGGTTGCTGAGAACCACTATGGACAGGCAGGTAGAATACTGGCCCCGTAATCACTTATGGCTCGTAGGTGGAAAGCTTATGCCTACCTGGTTGCCCCCACTCTTAGGGTTCACAAACACCAGCAGGGGCTTCATGAGGGGGGACGGTGTAGGCCTGATGATGAAGGGTCTCCAGCGGCCTTCCTGGGAGACAGAGAACCTATAAGCACTTTCCTGTCCTGGAGGCCCTAGCCTACATCCCCCTCAGCATCCCCTGCCACAAGTGAGCACACCCAACCTCAATATCAGACCTTCCACGGGCCTGTCCACAAGAAACAAGGAAGCTGATCTCCCACCTCAGACCTCCAGGGCCAAACCTGAGCCAGGCTAAACTGGCCGTATGGTCCAAGGCCCTGAACTGATAAAGATTCCCTCTCCGGTTCCTGGTCCCAGCCACCCCAGCCCAGGCCTAACCTCGGGTCCTTTCTTGCTAGACCTCCTCTTGAAGGACGCTCTCTTTTTCTTCTTGCTGGCTTTGAGGGTATTCTGCAAAGGAATCAGGGGTGTGGATGAGCCGCGACTGCTAAGTCCCATGGGGGAAGAGATGCTAAGAACAAAGGAAGGACTCACCTGGGGCCTCCGGGCGCGTAGGATCCAGGTGGGCGGGATGACCACGGCCGCATGCACCCCCAGGGAGCAGGGCTCCTCAATCTGTTGCAGCATGAAGCAGGACACCTTGCTGTGGTACTGGAAGACAGCCGCCATTGGCAGGGCTGAGCTTGGCCAGGCTGAGACTGGGAACCCACCAGACGCTCAGCACAGGCTCAGAGGCCACTTACCGCTTGCTTGCACCAGGAGCAACTGATGGCTACGATCTCCTTGCTGTGGAAGGTAAACTTCTGCTGGAAGCCCTGTGTGGACAAGGTGGCCTAGTAGAGACCCAGCTGTACTGCTGCTGCCAGCCTCTCCTCACCCATCCTATCTGTGCCATGTCCACAAATCATTGTCAATGACGACTGTGTGTAAGGTATGGGGGAAAAATATGGAGGGGTGAGCCCATTCTTGAGAGTCTGTCTTACTGAGGGAGACAGACCAACAGTCAACAAGTGGGTGAGCAACAGTGCTGTGTAGGGAAGGCGTCCTGAGCACAAGCCACTGTCCTCAGGAGGCAGCGAGCCTGCTGCCTAACTCAAGACATCACACACGACACTTCCTAAGTAACCACTGAATTAATGAATGAAAAGTCAATATAGTTCTCAAAGGGTCCCTTGCTAGTTCAAAAGTCAAACACCCCCCATCAGAAGAAAATCATCTCCCTTCCCTCGCTTAATTCAAAGACCAAGGGGCTTGGGGGCTGACTGAGTGACAGCAAATCTGAGACTCCACTCTGGAGCTACTGTCAGTCTTCACACTGGACACACAGGGCCCTTACCTTTCCACAATGCCGACACTTGCCATCCTGGCGTCGCCTGTGTACCCAGTGGTGTCTTACGAAGGTTGGCTGGGGGAAGGGAGAAAGGTCATGGGAACAAGTGAGGGGGTGGACAGGTACAGTCCTGAATTCAGACCACAGGAAGCCCTCTACAGTCCCTTGTAGAAAGATGAAAGGGGCTGTAGACTTTTCTCCATGGCCTGGAGGGAAGGCTGAACCCCTTAATGCACATTCTGAACCCTATCCCTCTGCAGACAGGACAGCTGGCTTTCTCTCTGGGTGACCCCAGAACCTCAGCCTAGAAGCTGAACCCACCTCTCAGGAAACTGGGCATCCCTGCTCTTCACGGCTGCACACTTACCTCACGGACATTTCTGGAGCCTGATTCACGGAATGATGGCTTACAGCGAAAATTGATCTGTGAAATATTTCAATGAGCACCAAAATGTCAGAGCCTTCTTTTGGACAAGGTCTCCTAGAGTCAACCTCACAGGCAGATAGAGTCCCAAATCACCCCAAGAGCCCCTTGGAACAGGGCTATCCCCTCTCAGAAGCCCTCCTGACCACTGACCATAGGTCAGTTTTTTTAGTTAGGATACAAGGATGGAGAGGCTAGGGTGGAGATGGGGGTTCATGTCCCCCTCACACTGTAGTGAGTGGGAGCACTATTTGATCATCTATTTCTCTCTCCCCCTCCAGCATTCCCAGCCCAAGTGAAGGCAGGAACCAATCCCTCCTGTGACTGTGCAGACTGACCCCTGGAGACCCTTAGCCAATGTTGTAAGCCCAGGTTCATGGTCACCTTCTATAACAGGGCTGCATTTCCTTCTCTCTCTCTCTCCCTCCTATCTCTGTCTCTCTCGTATCTCTTTCTCACATACATACACACACACAGAGAGCCCTGGCTGTCCTGCAACTCTCTATATAAACCAGGTTGGCTTTGAACTTGAAGAGATTGTCTTGCCTTCCGAACGCTGGGATTACAGGCATGTCCCACTATGCCCAGCCAGGAACACGTGTCTACTTTTCTCCCTACCAATGCCTGCTTTGGTCTCAGAAGAACTATAGAAAAGCCTCACTGTACAATTCAGGGACTGGAGGAATCAGCCTAAACTAGCCTTGCTGGGGCATTTATGTTCTTAAAGACTTTGTCACATGACAGCCTGGACTTCAGCAAGCATGGGAGCTCTTATCTTCCACGCCAAGCTCATTCCCTGTCTTGACGGGCACCTGGTCTGGCATTCCCCTTTCCTCCCACAGACACGCTTGGAAAATGGTCCTTGGGAAGTATCCTCCAGCAGTACACATAGAAGGAACACAGATGGGCCCATGACAGCCGAACATCTGGAAGTTTGGCTGTTTTGTTTTGATTATCTGGAACTGGAGAGTGAAGCTAGGACACTGCACATATAAGACAGCTGCTGTAGCCCAAGCCCACAATGGCCCCTTTGAATGTTAGGCTGGACAGGGTAAAACGACACACTGGTCACCACCTGTTAACTCATGCTATTGGGCAATAGTCAATGAACCACACTTGTAAGCCATGCTCACTCTACAGTAAGGTACGACAGCTAACACATGGGGAGAGGCAGGGCTAAAAGCAGGCATCTGACTCAGGGGCTTTGCTACTGTGCTTGCTGGGTCATTCCTGGCACGCTATGTTTGTGTAACCTGTATACGGAGCTACAGGTGTGTATTTCAAGAATGCTTCAGCATCCCAAGGCGAGGACACAAAGGCTGAGCAGCTGCACGTACCTTCTCCAGCTGTTCAATGCATGGGGTATGCACCACAATCTTACAGGCTGCACACTTTCTTCTGGGCACTGACTTCTGCTGCAGGACAGAAAGAGGGGAGGCCCTGAGGCACCAGGTAACTCTACCTGAGATACCAGCTCAGGGCAAGCAAAGAACATGTTCAGTGTATGGGGATTCCACTCCCAGCACCTGTCATTAGACATGACTCCTTCCTCTCACCCTGGAGCAGCCCACAGCAAGTGCAAGCAGGTGAGAGCAGTGCCCACCAAGGGCTGCAGCTCTTGCCTTGAGGTCTAGACCCACTACACCACCAGGGGGCAGCAGGTCCCACTGAGCTCACTCACCAGCATCTTAGCTACGCAGTACTGCTCCCCGACATAGCAGAAGTCACCGGACACGTTGGTCTCAAACCAGATGTGCTCCCCATACGCTGCTGACTCCTAACCCACGGGATGAGCAGGCTCAGTGCTTATCTGTCGCCCCGATCCTACCCATCACCTCCCGAGAAAAGCCTGCTACAGCCACCACAGTCTGCTTTCCTCTCTTTAAGCCTGGCTCAAAGGCTGCTGCCTCCCCTTGGAAGTCTGCCCAGACATGGGGACTTCTCTCCCAGTGGCCCACAAGCCCTGGGTCCTGACTGCTCAGGAGGCTCAGAGCCAGCAGGACTGGAACTGAGGGGTGGCTCCCTCCCCCGCCTAGTACGCAGACACTCACACTCCAGTCCACAGTGCTCCGGATCTGCCGCTCAGATTCACCACACGGGGCCCCAGGCGTGGGAGGAGGGGGTGCCAGGTGCTGGAGGCCTGACTTGGCGATGGCTTTCCTACAGAAAGAAGGACAACTGAAGCCCCAGGGCCAGCTGGGAGCTTGCGGACTCTATTTCCCCACTACCCGGAAAAACTGCTTACAGTGACTTTCACAAAGTACAAGATAGAGAAGCCCACAGAGTTCTGAGGCTCTTCAGCTCCTTCCAGCACTGCCCCAAGCCGCTTTCAGGAGGGCCACCCCCGGACGAGGTAGAGCTTCAAAGCCCTTCCTCTGAGCTAGTCCCCAAGGAGGCTACACCACACGCCCTGCTGACCACTGCTATACCTACATAAGCAGGGTGTTCCAGGGCTGGGGTCCAGCTGCCTTCCGCCTTAGAGCTACCTGGCGTCTGCGTGACAGTGGGCGCGCACGGGCAGGTATCATGAGGCCTGATGCAGTGCCCGAGGCTCTTTGGCTTCGGCTCCCAACACTCGGGTGTTGGCCTGAGGGCCACCTTTGGCTGAGGCGACGATAGTGCCCATGCAGGCCCCAAAGAGTATGGCCATACACCACATCAGCAGGGAGCAGGTGGGAGGAAGCTCTGCGCAGGCACCGGGGTATGGGAAGCAATGGCCAGGCGCCCTGGTGCGAAGAGGGCCTTGGTGTCCTGGTGCCCGGTTTGGCATCACTTGATGCCCCAGCTGTCTCATCTCCCTCCTGGGCCCCTTCCTCCTCCTTCATGCCCACAAGCCCAGCCAACAGGAGAGGTGCACTCAGAAGCTGGGCCCCGACACTGGCAGGCTGTAGGATGGGCACCATATCCACCATGAAGCGGGGATTGCAGGCAGGGGGTGCAGTGCTGGAGCGCCTGCGGCTGGCACCTTGGGTGCCCACCCCGCAGCTGGGGAAACAGCCCTGGAGCTGTGCACTGGAGCGGCGCCTCTGGGCCAGCGAGGAGGAGGCCTGCCCTGCAGGAGAGCGGCGGCGAGCCTTGCCTGTGGGCAGCCCCACACCATTGGACGGCTGCAGCCTCTGCCCAGGACCGGGTGCCTTCTGCTGGAAATGCCTCCTGAAGAAAGGCTCCATACCAGGGGCTGTTGGGCATCAGACTCGGAGCGTCAGGGGCTGGGCCAAGCTAAAGCCCACCTGTGCCCCACGAGCAAAGAAGGGACACTTAGGTGCTAGGGATGAGGACACTCTGGCCTCCATGAAAATGCTTACAGGTATCAGATGAGCAGGGAACCCAGGCTTACAGCTATGGGAGAGCAGACACTGTTCCCGGCTAGGATTCCCCAAATTCTACCCAGGAGTTTTCGGGAGATGCGCCTAAAGGGTCTTCATCTACCTTGCCAGAAATGAAAACAAAAGGCAATCTGGGACCCAGACCACGCCTCCATAGACCATAGGGCCCTGGAGTCTTTCCCTCTCATCTGACCTTCCTTCTGCCAACACGGAACAGGTTGGGCTCCTCTCCTAGGATACAGTGCAACTAAATGAATGAATGAAAGAACGGACAAATGAATAAACCAACAAACTCAGGCTATCTGCGAAGGTCTCGGTCCCGATAAAATCCCTATCCTCAGCGTCAACCTTGGGTTCAGACATTGGGAAACCAGGCTTCAGAGAGTTAGAAAGGCATGCCCCTCTCCATCCCCAGGAAAGAGTGCTCTTGTCTTAACTTGGTAGATGCAGTAAGAGGCTTAGGCTAAAAGAAGAGCCTTCTGAATCCCGGATGCCATGTGTATACATCTCTAAAAACTTCCTGGTACTGAGTGGCTCTGTCTCACCTTTCTAGAAAGCAGAGTGTGATGCCTGAAAACCCCTAAGTCTTCCTGCCAAGGGACCCAGTGTACCATTGTCCCCAGGCTTGAAGCCTGGGGCTAATAATTCTAAGCTTGAGATGACCCAGACTGCCTCCTACAGAAAGGCAGGGGCCTTGGTCTCCACCCATGCGAGCTCTCCAGAGACCCTCTCCTTTCACCTACTTCCCTGTTCTACCTTTCCTCCTTCCCAGGCCACTGGGATCAGCTTCTTCTACTCACACCTCTTCTACACTTGAGGATGGCAGGAAGCTTCCAGGCAGCTAAGGGTGATAGCTCCAAAGAACAGCCATGGAAGGCCAAGACACAGTCATGGAACAAATCACAGACATGAACGACTGGCAGACTGTTTCTGCTGAAGACCAGAGCAGGGGCAAAGTACCCTTAACCATTAATGGGCAAGTGGGGGAAGGACAGTCTGGGAGCATAGTCCCGCCTGATATATGTAGCACCTGATCTCCTCAATCCTCCATCCATCCTTGCCATGGGTCTTGGGCAAGTAGCTTCAAGGCAGGTACAGGGTGTAACAGAGAAGGAAGTGGGCCCAGGGGACAGAGCTCCTGCAATCAGTGAGCAGGAGGTGGCTGTGCTGGGAAAGCAGCATTAAGACTGGACAGGAGGTGAGTTCCAGAAATGAAAAAGCGGACACTAAAGGCTGCTTTCCTCCCAAACTCAGGGTCATCCAGCTAATACTGACTGAGTCCACTATGTACACACACACACACACACACACACACACACACACACACACAGTGCCTGATGAAGAAACTAGGCCACAGAAGAGTAGCATACACAAAGCCCACAGGCAGATAGTATAGAGCAGATGTGGGACCCCAGGGATGGGTAGAATACAAGGTTCTCTTGGACCCTGGGACAGGGTGAGATGGGCTAGAGAAAGGGCCCACAATATTAGCACCCATCCTGCTTGCCCAGCATCTACTGTGACAGGCCTTGGGTAAGCCCTTTACCACCTCACTGATGCCACTCTGAGGGAGGCAGGACCACAGTATTATTATACAGGTAAGAACGAGGTTCACAGTGGTGAGAGCATGCCCGGAGTAGTCACACAGCCAGCCAGTGGCAAAGTCTGGGTCCTGTGACCACGGCTACTTGAGTTAGGGTCTACTTTCTGTCCCAGGAAGAGGAAACTGCAGGCCTCGGTGCCTGCGGCCGCCAGGGCCCTTGCCAGGTCTCCACTAGGGTGTCAGCTTTCCCCAGCACTCTGCAGGCCCCGCTGTGACAGCTGCCCAGCCTGGAGGAGATTAGTCACCCGGACACATCACACCGCCTGATGCTAGTGTCACCCAGAAAACAAAAGGCCACAGTTGGTGTGGGGGAGGTACTGCTATGCTCTCTGGGCAGTGGTAAAGGCTGGGCCCTCCCTGCTGTCCCAGACCTGCATGACAAGATAAGAAGGAAGCAGCTCATGTTAGGACACATGGCAGTTTACATGCATGACTTTAGAACCCACACGCTGCTAGGTGCTCCAAGACACACCTGTAACAAATGTTTCTTCAGCTGCCCCAGGGGTGCAGCCTCCCAGTGGAACACAAAGCCAAGCCAGTGCAAATGACCATATACCATGGACCTCAGTTTCCCTGTTTGTTTAAGACCGTTAAGACTGTTTGACATCTTAGGAGAAGCTCCCCTGCTGGGCACTACCACCCCCAAACACCACTGGGTGCCCACAGCCCCTCCTGCGGGTCCCATGTTTCCTGTTCATCTCATCTCTATAGAAACTTTGGTCTACTGGCCAGAGATTGCCTGACTCCTCACTTCCTATCTCTGAGAGGCTCCTTCAGTGGGCCTGGCAGCTCCTGCCTATTATCCCAGCACTTGGGAGGCTGAAACAGGAAGCTGTAAGTTTGAAGCCAACCTAGGCTACACAGTGAACCCACGTCAGCCTGGGCTCCAGTACATAGCTGTCTTAAAAAGAGATGATAATAACAATAAAGCTCAGCACAGTGGTGCACAGCACAGTGGTGCACAGCACAGTGGTGCACAGCACAGTGGTGCACAGCACAGTGGTGCACAGCACAGTGGTGCACACCTTTAATCTCAGTGCTTCAGAAGCAGAGGAAGGTGGGCTTCTGTAAGCTAGAGCCACCCTGGTCAACAAAGAGTTCCAAGACAGCCAGGGCCATACAGTGTGACTCCATCTCAACTGATTAATTTAATTAGAAAACAAAACAAAGCAAATAAAAGAAGCCCTGCTTGGGCCTGAGTTCTCCCACAGTTCAGCTGTGAATGGCCACTTCTCACTTCATTCCGTGTCACCTCCACACACACGGTACATGCAAAGGTCTTGGGGGAGGCCCCGGAAGATTTTCACACCAACAACATAGCAAAATGGACCTCCCTGCCCCCCAGCCCTGCCCAGGCTGCCAGGTCTTGTCTGGAGCAGCCAGCCACACTCAAGGAGAACAACATAAAAATGGCTTAGAGGGCTCCATTAATCTCCACCTGACCCTGAGGACCCTGATGAGGACAGGGCCAATGCGAGAGTGGGGGATGCCGTGAGTGGGGAGTGGCGTGGCGGTGCCAGGCCATGTGCCCTTGATGAGCAGAGCTGCAGCAGAGCTAAGGCAGCCCCTGTGGAGTTAATGGAGCCCAGTTTGTCCTCAGTCACCAGCTAGGCCAGGGTGATGCCGCCTGCTCAGATTGTCTCACACTGACGCCAGCTACACTATGGAAAATCTGGTGTAGCTGTGCAACCTTGTCATCCCCAGCTCTTGGGAGGCAAGGTTGTCCTGGACTACACGGCAAGTTTACTGTCAGCCTGGCCTACACGAGACATGTCTGAAAATAAATAAATAAGCAAGCAACCACTTTAGAACCCAGCATCTACCACCAGATCAACGAGCCCCTCCAAATCTACATCCCCATGTACAGGATGGGGTCCTACCGCCCAACTTAAAGGCCAGCATAAGGGACATTCTGCTGCAGTGATGCACACAAAGCGCTTCATGCTACCTGGCAGACCTGGACCACGGTGGAACCCCCAGGGCCTGGGGAACCCAGAAAAGGAAGCAGGAGCACCCAGGGTGGCCACCATTACCACATGAGGAACAAAGCCCTGCCCCAGGCCACCTGGGCATCTGCTCCTCCAGAGGAACTGCATAGGACACCAATTGGGTCCTGCCACAGTGGCTATGGCATGCCATGGGAAGGATCCTACAGACCTCTGTTCCATGAAGGCTGGGCCTGGGGTAGGGCACCTGTACTCTGGAAGTCCCAGAATTGGAGTGGGGGGAGAGAGCTGGGAAGGGAGCCTGCTTCATCTAGGCTTGCCTAGGCTGGTTAGTCAGGGTGCCAACTTTATAAAGAGATTCTGCCCAAACAAAACAAGAACACACATGTGAACAGGTAGGCCAGTGCTGGAGGATATAGTGTGGCTAGATAGTCAATCAGCCATTTTAGATTCTGCCCAGGCTTGGTGGGTCCTCCAGGCCCTGTTCCTTTTCTATCAGATGCGGGGAGGGCTGGCAGGGGAGGCCCTCATCTAGAGATGGTGGTGCCTGGGCCCACCCTGATCTACCTTCCCCAAATGCACCCAGATAGTCGTAGGAGGGAGCAGAAGGTAAGTAAGAGAGGGGAGTCCCCTTTGACCTGATCTGGAAGGCAAGGCGGCAGGCAAGAGGCGGACAAGCAGGTTGGGGCTGGGGTCCTTGGCGCCTGGGCTCTCTCTCCAGTTTGCTCTGGCTGCCGGACCGGACTCTGCGGAGCAAGTCCTAGTTTGGAGAGCCAGCTGCAGTGGCTGCTCCTCTGCCCCCTCCCCCGCCCTACCCTCCTCCCCCAAGCCGGAGACAGCCGTTATGAAAATAGCCCAATTGGTAACCGACTGCACTTCCTCTCCCAGTGGTGGCTCCTGGCCCTGCAGCAGGCAGGCAGCAGGAGGTGGGTGGGTGGGTAGTGCACAGAACAGCACAGGAGCCTGCCCTCCTGGCACCTCTTCCCCAAGTCCCAAGCCAGGCTGAGTGACAGCATCAATACATTCTCCTCCAGTAAAAGGACAGCCCATACCGTGTCTGGTGAAGGCAGACAAGGTATGCAGAAGGGTACGCAGGAGTGGCAACCCTTTTAAGGAAAGGGGAACAATCACTCACTGTTCTCCTATGTCCATGGGACAGGCTTTTATGGGGTCTTGGGCAGCTAAACACACTGATTCCAGACAAAACAACCACAAAAATAATTATCTATGGAGTGCTTCACAACTTAGACAGCCTTTTCTCACCAGCATTATTAGCCAGGAGGCTGGTGATTCCCTGTGCGGGAGGCCTCCTGTCCCTGCTGAACAGATGGTGCAACCTGAGGCTCCCAGGAGCCTGACTCCTGTCTCAGGAGTAGCTGAGCTGGGCCTCCAGAGCCTGACTCTTCTGGCCCTGTCAAGGGGGCCAGCAGTCTTTCTGAGCGCCTGGGTCCATGCCAGCTAAAGAATATTTAGGAGAGATCAGTTGGTGTCACACACATCCCAGTATGCCAACACCCCGCTCCCTAACTCACGTTCCTGCCATGGCTCACTAGGGAACGGCAGCTATCAAGCTTCCTGATTCCAGAACCATTTCTACTCTTAACAAAATAATTACTGAAAAGAATTTTGAAAAGAATCCTAAAATAATTTTGTCTGGGGAACTGGTAATAGCTATTAACATTTAACCAAGCACATTCTACATTAAACCTGAGAGCACTAATCATTGAGGAGGCAGAGGCAGGAAAATCTCTGAGTTCAAGGTCAGCCAGGGCTACAGGCTGAGACCCTGTTTTGGGAAAAGGAAGAAGGGAGGAGGATGGGTGAGCAAGCTATAGCTCATAGAACAAAAATCAGTGAAAAGGCAGTTTAACTTGAAAAATAACATGTGTTCTGTGTGTGTTTGCAAGTTCCGCAGAGCAAGTGTGGCAGTCAAAGGACGACACTCGTCCCAGCCGCTGTCGCCTTCTCCATGTGAGTCCTAGGGTCAAGTTCTGTAGTCTAACTTGGAGGCAACGGCTCATTTATGTTTCTGGTTTGCTACAGCAGCTGGTTCTTGACGCACTCACCCTGCGCGAGTGCCAGGCCTGCGGGTTGTTCTGGTGGAGGAACATGGAGGGTGAGTCTCGCCTCATCGTGTGGAGTTAGGAAAGGGAGGGGCAGCACACCAAGCCTCCAGATGAGTGTGGCATCACCTGAAAATATGACAAGTAATATTTCTTTCTTTTCCTTTTTTTTTTTTTGGACACACAGTTCCTCTGTGTAGCTCTGGCTGTCTTGGAACTCACTCTGTAAAGCAGACTGGCCTCTAACTAAGAGGTCCACCTGCCTCTGCCTCCATGTGCTGAGATTAAGGGCATGCATCACCACTGCCCAGCTGAACCCAAAGTTGTTTTTTTGTTGGGTTTTTTGTTTGTTTGTTTTGTTTCTCAAGACAGAGTTTCTCTGTAGTTTTGGCTCCTGTCCTGAACTAGCTCTTGTAGACCAGGTTGGCCTCAAACTCACAGAGATCCTCCTGCCTCTGCTTCCTGAGCGCTGGGATTAAAGACATGCGCCACCACGGCCCAGCTCTGAACTCAAAGTTTTATCTTGCAAGGTTTTGGTTTTTTTTTCATGGTGAGGTGACCTCTTTAAGACAGGGTTCTCATTATTAAGTATCTCAGGCTGGCCTGGCGCCACACTTAGGGTAGGAGCACAGGCTTGCTCTGCCACCAGGCTGTATGGTATTTTGTGACAGCAAGTGTAGGACAGTGGAGAACACTGTGGTACTAAGTTATATTGATCTTCCAAAGGTTGACATAGTTCCTCAAAGAACATCACCTTTGCTGTCTTCATTGCTCTCAACAGTTTCCTGTCCTAGGAAGCCCCTCCCTCCACCAGAATATAGGTAACATTTCTAAAATTCTGAGTCCTGCTCAAAAGCCCTGCTAAAAACTTAGTTTCTTATTGAGAACAAATACTGGCACCGGGTTTTGAAGTGGCAGGCTCACTCATTCATACTTGGGGAAATGTCTGCAAGAAAGCAGGACTAGTTCTGTCAGTTGTTCAGGACAAAGGACACTGGCAGGCCAGATGTGGAGGCGCACACCTTTAATCCCAGCACTCAGGAGGCAGAAGCAAACTGATCTCTGAGAGTCTGAGGCCAGCCTGGTCTACGTAGTGACACAGGGCAGTCAGGGCTATGTAGAGAGAGACCCAGTCTCAAAAGGGAAAGAGAAGAAGGAGTGAGAGAGCCACTAGCAGACCATAGCGTGGACTGAGCAGCCACTAGCAGACCACAGCGTGGACTCAGCGGAGAGTTTCAGCACATTCTAGTTTAGAGGGCAGCAAAAATCTCAGGCAAACTTCATTTCATCACACAAATACTAAAAAGACATACATACACACAAGGGATCTTATTGCTTGCTGTTAGCTCAGGCTGGTCTTAAACACCATTCTCCGGTTTCAGACTCCTCAATGCTGTGATTACAACACCTAGCATTTCAAATCACGAATTTCCATCCTCTCTGTTCTGACAGTCTCACACAGCCCAGACTGTGCGCCCACCTTCTGAAGGCCCCCCACCGCGCTGTGCCGGAAAGCGCTTTAGGCATGTCAGGTAAGCACTCTGCCGCCTGAGCTAGCTCACAGTCCAAGTGTCTCTACTGTTTTCTAAAAAGGCATTGGCACACAGAAAAGGCTCTAGTGGCTGCTAACGCCCCGTCCCTGCCTCTGCTGACAGCAGCGCCATGAACAGGAACACGCCAGGGCCACTCAGAAACGATTCCTAGGAAACTGCTTTGTCCGCAGTCTGCGGTGCCACACTTACAGAACCACTGACTCGGTGGATTCTACACCATGGCACTAACTCCCTAGGTTACAAGGGAGCCAACCTCCAGTGCCATGTCCCTACACTGGCACACCTCCCTTCCCCTGCTCACTTAGCCAACCACCCCACTCCAGCCGACCATTCATCTGGCTCTTTACCCGCAGAAACCCTGGATGGCCCTTTTTTCTTAGGTTCCCAATGCCTTATTCTTCCATCAGGCAACCAGCTCCTGGGGGTGGGGCCTAGTAAATTTATCTGGGTGTGGTGTGTCCAGCACAGGGCTGGCAGGAGCTGTGTTTACTGTGGATCAGCTCAGGAGGAAGGAATAGGGAATTCTGTGGGGGGAGGTCAGAGCTTTCAGGGATTGGAAGCGCTTCCTCCTGGGTACCCCACCAAGGGCTGGCCACAGGCCCAGGCCACTTCTCTTTGTTTGGGCACAAGAGGATGGCAACAGCCTTTGTTTTGGTGGCCACCTACCTCTCCTCTTCAGGAGATCTGGTAAGTGACACCTGGAGGCCCCTTTCCAGGTTGGGAAGCCATTGCTTACCCCACAGACAGTAGGGGGAGGAGGGGATGCCGAGATGCTTGGGGGCTAGGCCAGGACCCTAAATGAATTCCTTGATGAAATGTTCGGGGAACACGTTAGAGTCTGAGAAGTAGGAGAAGTAGTAGTTTCCTCTTCAGTCCCCTGCTGTCCCCAGAGTCATCTGGGAGCATGCACTTCTGCATGACTGCTCCCCACTGACAACTGACAAGAACCTGGGCCTGGCAGCCAACAGCTTTCCCTCCTATTTTCCTTTGAAAAAAAAATTTAACATTAATTTTGTATGTGTGTGTGCATGCACAAGTCTTCACGTGAATGTGGGTGGGTACATATATGTCATCATGCCATAACATACAAGTAAAGGTCAGAGAACAACTTTCAGAAATTGGCTCTCCTACCATATGAGTTCTGGGATTGAACTCAGTTCATCAGCTTAGCAGTAAGTACCTTTAACCTCTGAGCCATCTCTCTAGCCCATTTTCCTATTTTTATATTTAACAAAAATATATTCTTCACTTGACCATTGATGATTTATTTACTTATTTGAGAAAGTGTCTCATGTAGCACAGGATGACCCTGAACTACCTCCCAAGGTAGGATCCTCCTACCTCTACCTCCCAAGTGCTGGGAATCACAGGCAATCACTACCATACCAGGTTAAGCAAATCTTATCCTATTAATGCTGGCTGAATTAATAGGTGGTACTATAGGTCCCCATTGTCTATCCTCACATTATAGATAGGGAGTGAGGCATAATGCAGGGCAGTGGCTAGCCCAAGGCCTGCAGCTGACAAGTGGCAGAGCGTCAGTGAAAACCCACTGGCAAGCCCTTATCTGTCGCTTCTGGTTCCTTCTGGCACACAGACACCTCTATGCTTGGCCTCTTTAAAATGGAGTCTCTCTAATGGAGACCAGGCCCCTCTCCTTACCAACCTCAAACTCTGTTTTCCTTCTCACCTTTTTAAAATAAATCTTTATTTATTTATTATGTATAGTGTCCTGTCTGTATGTATGCCTGCACACCAGAAGAGGGCACCAGATCTCATTATAAATGGTTGTGAACCACCATGTGGTTGCTGGGAATTGAACTGAGGTCCTCTGAAAGAGCAGCCAGTGCTCTTAACTCTGAGCCATTTCTCCAGCCCTCCTTCTCACCAGAGCTGGCTCAGACACTGGCTCTGCTAGAAAACTTTCCCTCGGACGCTCTCCCCTGGAAGAATGGGGATGAGCTGCTCAGACCCTCTCCTGGTTATTTTGGGCTAACAGTACTGACCTGCTAGACTGCATCCCCCAGGAGACCACAGGCCCTGAGACCTTCAAACCTTGTGTTTTATAGGCAGCTCTGAGACTGACCCCTTACGGGAATGCTAATGTGTCTTCTTCCAGCTCTCCCAACGGGAGGGACTCCTTTGTGGCACCTGTGTCTGGGTCCAT